GCTGAAGCCACTTCAGCATGAATTCGATCCCTGCCCATAGGTGACCCACATGGCACAGTAGACCTCTCCTGACTGGATCGCTGCTCCCCTCAGTAGTGTACTTTGTCAGTTGGCCTGTTCTGCTCCCAACTTTGTCTCTGGTGAATCCTCTTACCACCCCTGCACCTCTGGCCTGTACCCCAGTTCTGTATGCATAAATAAACAAGTCTTTACAAAAATAAATAAATAAAAAATACTATACCACCATGTCAATGTTATAAACCTATATTATCTTAAAAATTAAATAATTAAAAAAATAAATAATAAAATGTACTTTTACTGTCCTTGGGTTTTGAAAGGCAGCAAAGGTGTTCAGTCATAACATTTTTACCTGAAAGCCATTGCTTTCAAGAGTGTGAAATTTTTTAAAGGAAAATTCAGGGTCCCATGGTAAACAATCTAAAATATATTTGAGGGAAAGAATGACTAGACCTTTGATTAAAAATTTTTATTATCCCAGATTTTTGTTTTAAACAAATCTGTTTGAAAGATTTAGTACCTTTTTTTCCATCTTCTCTCTCCTCCTTTCCTACAACTTGTGCAAGTTTTCATTGTATTGTTTGCTCCAAACTGAATTCTTTATGCAGCTAGTGCATAAGGAAGCACTAGTTTGCTGAGAAGGAGGTAGTTATACAAGGTAGAAAGATGAGCAGGTAGGTACAATGCAGCATGTCATAGCAAATCCATGTCATACTTTCATCAAGACTGTTAACTGTTTCTACCCTCTTCTTGCTGGCTTGGGATCAGAGCAGTGATTCTCTTTAAAGTTGTGTTTGTCCATCAAGTCCAGTAAAAGCTACACACATCACTGGATTGTCTGCAACATCATTGCAGATAGCCCATCTCCTTGTTCTTATAAAAGCACATAACTTGAGCTTTTTAGTTAGCTTTTGAGAGAGTGATCTCAAAGAGTATCCATTCTGATTCCAAAAGCAGGATGAAAATTGCAAAAAACTTTGAGATAATGACTCCCTGTGTGGTGAATTCCAGTAGTTCTAAGCCTGCCTATGTTCCTCCTTCAAGTATCTCCTCCAATGACTTCCAAACTCAGTCTCACTCAATCTTCAAACTTGATAGCACATTTACTTTTTTTCTGAAGTTTTAAGTCTTTGTTTCCTTTTTAAATTTTTATTTTCATCATAGGATTTCTGTAATATATTTCTTGGATCTAAATTGGTAGAGTGTCACAGGATAATAAATAATGATCCCTCTGCTTTGCTGATTTCTCAATTAGTTGAGAGACAAAGGGGGGCAAACATATGGGTCTCAAAATCAAACAGTTATTACTGACTTTATTGGTAAAGCACTTTGAAAAATGTTAGGTCAGCCTGTTGGGCATTGTGAGGAGTTTATATTTCAAGTCAGATTTTGTTGTGTTATCCACTATCTTACCAGAGTAGGAAAACCACACCCCATATCTTCACTACTTAAGCCCCCTAAAACTTACCATAAAAGACAGGAAAGGAATTCCTGGAAAGGAGTGAGTAAGGAACTATAGGGGTGCTACTCTAATGGAAGTTTCTCTCCATGAAGCATCAAGAACTATGTTCCAAAATAGGAAGTAATATAAACTCCCTTTTAAGACACACTTTAAGTTTATAGCAGATATCCAGAAAAAATATGGTGTTAAATCTGCTTGTGTGACATATTCGAATTTTAGAAACATTAAAATCCTTTTCCCATCTTAAAAGTTAGAAAGTATGGTGTCATAAATTACCAATAACTTGTTCCTTTGGGGGAAAAGAAAGCTCCTCTATGGTCTTGAGTAATGGAGGACACACCCTTGGCTAGGATGAGGAGACTCAGATGTAATTCTAGCCCCTTTACAGGCTAGCTGGGAGTCCTTGACTCCACTGAACCTCTCCTGGTCTGTTTTTTATCTTCTCACTGAGGAATGACAGACCAGTAACACATTAAAAGATAAGAAAGATGGAGGATAAGACTAGAACTTCCACAACTAATTAATTTCAGGGTATTTCCTTGAAGCCAGGTAACTCCCTTCCCTAGTCTTACTGTTTTCTTCTATGACTACTATAGGTTGAGTTGAAATTAGGCAAAATATTTTGGCAGCACAGAAGTGATCACTCATTCATTCATTCATTCATTCATTCATTCATTCACTTAACAGATCATCTTTTTAATGCCAAATACTGTACTTGCAATAAGAATGAATGAGACACATCCGAGCCTATATAGGAACACACAATTATGCCCTTCAGTGTTTGCAGTTCTTTGTGATAACATCAGCATTGCTCTTTATTTAAAACCTTACTTGAAGTGATTCAAACTGATTCCTAGAAGAAATTTAAACCTCCTTAGCTGGAAACATCATCCCTCTTATGCTTGTCCTAGTTTTAGAATAATGCCCCTTCGTCTTACATGACCCACCTCCCAATAATTGGCTCATACCATCTTATCACAAATTCATCTAGTTCCTAAAAAGAGACATTAGTGTAAGATGCACAACCATACTGTGGCCTAATTATAGCTTTTCTTTCTGTTTATAGGTTATTTAAGCTGGCACTATTATGTAACAATGCCCATGCCATCCTCCACCTTCACAATTGCAGTGGGATCCTGGACAGAAGTAAAGAAAGATATCTGTTCTTTAGATGAAGTGGCAAAAGGGAGATCCATCCCACCTTCTGATCCTGATTTCAGGTTTGTATATGGGAACTTGCTCATTGGGAACACTTGAGGGAATTGTATGATGCAGTTTTTCCAAGTACTGGGGATGTGAGTCATCCCTGCTGAGAAACTAAACCAAAATATGATTAGTCAAAGCAGGAAAAGCCCTACTGAGAGGGAAAAGTGAAGAGGCAGAAATGTGGGCATATTGTTTATGCAGAAAAAAAAAAGAGAGAGAAAAGTAGTATATATGAAATCCTCTGGAAAGTCACATGAAATATTTTTATGTAGTTGACTAAATTAGCAGAATCCTTAGATCAACACTTTTCTCCTATACCTTTTAAATTTGGTTTTCACTACTTATGTGTTCAAAAACACAGCTTAAGAAAAAGTTGTTCATCTGATAAATTTCTTTGTAGACTCCAGTATTTTTGGTTCTAGTCACTGTTCCTAGCAGTGTGTTTGTTTCCTTAGGTATGCAGGACAAAAGGAAGCTGTCCTAAAACTATAGGGTTAAAAGACTACTTCTAGATAAGGACTCTTAATTTCAGTAACAATTTCTTGTTTTCCCCAAAGAGCTGGAGAATATCAATTTGAAATTTTTTTAATTTTTTTTTATTACAGAAGTTTATGTTTACATCATTTTGCACATCTTTTTTCCATCTCGATTGTAATCCCCGTGGGTTTCCCAT